GTCAGCATTATTTCTTGGTATTAATAAATGATCAACTAACCCAAGAAAAGGAAAATGATTGGCTTAGTTCGCCTTGTGTATATGTATATGAGGTCAGTAAGGTATTGTGGACCAGTGGTCTCTAGGTTAGGGAGGCAATCCTCAGTGGTTGGGAGTAGGGGACCATTATCATGTGGTATAAAATGTGGTGCTTACACTGCCGGGGCTGTGTTTCCAGGTACTATCCAGCTCATAATGGTAAAAGGTGTAGATTCTTCCTGAGTTCAAAAATAGCTCTGCCACTTACCACATGTTTTATGACCCTGGGCAAATTAATGCCTATAACTCAGTTTCCTTATCTATAAAATGGAGATAATAATCTAAATCAGCTTCATAAATTGGCATTAGAATCAAATAAGTACATGTCGGACATACATAAAGAGCTTAATATGTTGTAGATATTGTTATTGAGACTGAAAAATGCATACTCTTCTCATTCTACAATTCCAAAGATGCCCTAGGTCAACACAATTCAAATATAACTTTTAAGCTCATATTACTGTTCCAAAACCAAAAATGTCTCCTAAAGTCCTATCAAGCTACTATATTTAGAGATGATAGCACGGGGTGATATTAAAGCGTGATCTTCAGTCTTAGAGAATACAACTTCCTGGCATATCTCATCTATCTCTAGTCTTGCTATAATTCCTTGCCATTCTACAACCTATGAACCTAACGGTACTTTTAACCAACATCAACACTGCTGATCTATTAAGTATTTATTATTTAAATGCCTATTAAAGAATATTAAGTAAAGCAGTGAAGCTTATTAAGTATCTATTAAATGAGTGAGGACATTAAAAAAATAAATTTCTAAGAATTAAAGTACTGGGGGGATGAGCTCAACTCACTATGGGTCTTGCCCCATGAACCAGACCCTCTGTTCTCCTACCCTAAATTAATGTCTGTTAGCACAGTACTGGGCACACAGTGGATAGCTACAGACAGGAAACCCACTAACATGGGGTCTTTCTTATATTTTATCCCTCTAGCAATTTTATCATTCCAACTGGAAACCAATATTGTACTTTTACTCTTATTGGATTATTGGAATCATAACCATGGTTTTCATCCTCACATAGCATTGTGAACGTAGTTCATTGGCTTGTTGTTCAAGGACACCAGTAAAGATTCTCTTTATGATGCCACCCTAAATCTCTTCGTTAATCCTGCCATTTCACACCCCTCTCCCCACTGGTTATATTCTTGTTCTCTGACCCCCTTAATATCTGTTTTTTTTTTCTTTAGAGACAGAGTCTCACTCTGTCACCCTTGGCATCATAGCTCACAGCAACCTCAAAGTCTTGGGCTTAAGTGATCCTCTTAGCTCAGTCTCCCAAGTAGCTGGAACTACAGGCACCTGCCACTACGCCCAGCTAGGTTTTTGTATTTTTAGTAGAGACGGGCTCTTGCTCTTGCTCAGGTTGGTCTCGAACTCCTGAACTCAAGCTATACACCTGCATCAACTTACCAGAGTGCTAGGATTATAGGCATGAGCCATTGCACCCAGTGTAAAGTGTTTATTTATTTATTTATTTTGCAGGGCTTTTTTTTATTGGTCAGGGCCGGGTTTGAACCCACCACCTCTGGTATATGGTGCCGGTGCCCTACTCCTTGAGCCACAGGCACCACCCAATTTATTTTTTATTTTTTAAGACAAGATTTCACTCTGTTATCTCAGGCTAGAGTGCTGTGGCATCATAGCTCACAGCAACCTCAAACTCCTGGGCCCAAGTGATCCTCTTGCCTCAGCGTCCTGAGCAGCTGAGACTATAGTCGCCCACCACAATGTCTGGCTTCCTCAATGTCTCTTATATCCAGTTGTGCGTTCACCCCTCCCTCTAATCCCACCTGAAGAATATTAATTTAGGCCCTCCCCACTTCTTGTCTAGATTGCTGGAATTCCTGTCTTTCCAGCATGCAGCCTTGCCCCATTCCAGCATGTTCTTCACATAGCTGACAAAGCTGTTTTTCTAACACATGTATTTTATTATATTGTTCCTTTGTTTACAACCCTATTGCCCTCAGTATGAAAACCCAAACCCCTTAAGCCTTTCAAATTCTAGCCCAAGACGTGCCTATGATCTCCTTGGTTCTCACTGAATTATCACCATGACCTTTGTCAGTGTCTCCTTTCTGCTTCTCTGCCTGGTCGTCTTCACCAGCAAAGCACCTTGCGATTACCACTCACGTCACCTCATCATGCCCTCAGTCACAAATGAAGGGCTGTTGGTGACTCTTACAGTTACAGATGGTGGTTTTGCTGAGACAGGAAAAGGAAAAGCCCTCCCCTCATTTTACAGTTCTTTCAATCCTAACTGGAACAGCCCATGGATTTGGGAGGTGTTACCAGAGGGAGAGATGACCACATTAAAAACAAAATACTCTGAAGGAAAAAGAAACAAAAGTCTTTGCCAAGTGCACATTAAAAAAAACCAAAAGGCCCTAGAAGGGAGAAGTGGGAGGGGAGTTGCGGATGGTAAAAGGCAGGCAGCGGCTCACTTTGATAGCACACGTACTAACACTGGAACGGTAGAGAGAAGATTAGTGTGGCCCCTGGGCAAGGATGACACACGAATTCATGAAGTGTTCATAGTAAAAAACAAAAACAGAGGCAGAGTTAGGTTTTGGTTGTAATTCAACTTCCATAGTTTTGGAACTGACTGACTCAGTCATCAAAATTTGACTTTCCGGTGCTAACCACCAGCAGTTATATTTTGTGATGGACAAAGCTCATCTGTGAAAAAACAGATAACTTCCTCTTGCTAAAGATGGTCAGATTTGCATTCATTTTTCCATATTCCTTTCTCTAATCAAACATCATATGTCAGCAAAGTGACGTACTTTAAACAATGGTGACCCACAATCCAAAGCAAACATACCAGTAGTCTGGAGAGCAGGCATTTGGGAAGGAAACCGTGGGCAGGTGAGGGCTGGGCCTTCCCGCAGAGCGGCTTTTGGTAATGGAAGGATAACTTTAGGCCTTTTAGGTTTTCTGCCTTTATGCATCCTGAAAGCAGGCACTGGGGAGGTAAATCAGTAATTAGGGGTTCTTTGAAATAGAGATTTGTGGCCTGACAGACCGCAACCTGTCTGTATCCACAACCTTAATGAAAACACGCCAGCCCTTTATCTCCAGGTGTGTCTGGTCTATTCAAAGTCTCTGATTTATAGAGTTGTTTGGGTTCATGTTTCACTGCCAGAAAGATGGGTGTGTGAGACTCACAGCACCACATCTACTGGGGCAGTGTTTTGAAATCTCATCTAAAATGATAGGTCTTATTAGTGGTTTCATTCTTTGTCCTATAACCAGTCATCCTGAGTAAAAGTTTAACTTTAACTCACCTACTATACAAGGGCTCAGAACCTCTGAGAATAAAAGCCATAAGCCAACACAAAACAATTCCTAAAGTTCATAATAGCCCAAGAAATTCAAGGCTCTTTCACAAGAGACTGCTATTTTAGAATGTTTTGTAGATTTTAAATTCCACCGACAGCCAGGCATGGCTCACATCTGTAATTCTAGCACTCTGGGAAGCTGAGGCAGGTGGATTGCTCGAGCTCAGGAGTTTAAAACCAGCCTGAGCAACAGTGAGACCCTGTCTCTACTCAAAAATAGAAAAACTAGTTGGGCATTCTGGTGGGTGCCTATAATCCCAGTTACTCTGAAGGTTGAGGCAAGAGGATTGTTTGAGCCCAAGAGTATGAGGTTGCTGTGAGCTATGATGCCATGGCACTCTAGCCAGGGTGACAGAGTGAGACTCTGTCTCAAAAACCCCCCAAAATTTAAATACATAAAAATAAATAAAATTCCACCTACTGTCATTTTAGTTGGAAATAAGTACTGAGTATCTGTTTTATTTATGGCCATCATAACAGATACTGTCCATACGTAGCAGGTATGGGTTTATGAAATGTCATTCTCTGTTACCTGTTGCTGTTGCCTGGGCCTGTGTCATTCTCCACACACAGATTTTCCATTATTCATTTGTGTCTTACATTGACGATATCTGCCAAGGTGTGATTAATACCGTGACTTAAAACCTTTACGAGACACCTAAAATTGCAAGACAAATTTGCATTCTCATTTATGGAACTCTGTAAAGGAACCGCATGTTTAACACTACAAATACGTGGCCAGGTGTGGTGGCTCATGCCTATAATCCCAGCACTCTGGGAGGCTGAGGCAGGTGGATTGCCTGAGCTCCCGAGTTCGGGACCAACCTGAGCTAGAGTGAGACCCGGCTCACTCTAAAAAAAAAAAAAAGAATAGCTGGGCATTGTGTCGGGTGCCTGCTGTAGTGCCAGCTACTCAGGAGGCTGAGACAACTTGAGCCTAAGAGTTTGAGGTTGCTGTGAGTTATGACGCCATGGCATACCGTCAGTAGTGACAAAGTGAGACTCTGTTTCAAAAACAAAAAACAAACAATAAAAATAAGCACTAAAAATATATGTATTTATTGGCGGGACAAACTTTTTAAAACTTAAACTTTTTTTTTTGGTAGAGACAGAGTCTTATTTTATTGCCCTCGGTAGAGTGCCATGGCATCACTCCTCACAGCAACCTCCAACTCCTGGGTCCAGGAGATTCTCTTGCCTCAGCCTCCCGAGTAGCTGGGACTACAGGCACACGCCAGAATGCCTGGCTATTTTTTTGTTGCAGTTTGGCCGGGGCTGGGTTTGAACCCGCCACCCTCAGCATATGGGGCCGGAGCCCTACCCACTGAGCCACAGGAGCCTTAAACATTTTAAATTATAAAATCTTTCAGATACAAAAGAAGCACGGAAAGTAAAAATACAAAAGGCATCCATATACCCACATTTTATAATTTGCTTCATGTGATTGCTATTTATTTTATTCTCTTATTTTTATGTATTTATGTATATTAGCACAAACATAAACTTTTTTTTTTTTTTAGACAAGGTCTTGCTCTGCCACCTGAGCTGGAGTACATTTGGCATCATCACAGCTCACAGCAACCTCAAGCTCCCGGGCCTAAGTGATTCTTTGCCTCAGCCTCCCACATAACTGGGAATCCAGGTGTGTACCACAATGCCTGGCTAATTTTTGTAAAGATTGGGTGTTGGTTGCCATGTTGCTCAGGCTGCTCACATGAACCCCAGTTTCTGCTAGCATCAAAGACCCCACCCTCTTTTCCCCCACTTTCCTCAAAATTAACCTCTATACAAACCTGCTTATCCATATTTTTATCTTTTTATAACATAGGTATGTGTTGTGTTTCTAAAATTTGCATAAAGGGTATCCTTTACAGATTCCTTTACAATTTTATTTTTCTTTCAACACTGTTAAGATTTCTCTACCTTGGCTCGGCGCCTATAGCTCAACCGGCTAAGGC